AACGCACCTCATGCTGCATGTTGACCATCCCTGGTGACTAGAGGTGGTGCCTCTCTCTTGGCGGTGGCCCATGGTGGTACCTGTCAGGCACTGCTGAGCAAGCAAATATCCCCACTAGGGTGAGCCTAAATAGAAAATTCAAAATACACTACAGGCAGATAGGCCAGCATAAGATTCCGTGCCCAGTTCCCTCACAGTGTAATAAAGAGTAGCTAGGTTTGTATGTGAACTTACAATGATGCAGGTTCTTGCTTAAAAGAAGCTGGAAAAAAGGGTGTCACCCAGATAGGCGCTGGCAGATATATTGCTATCATCTCACCCCTTTTCACCACTATCCTATCTCCCATTCCTTTGCCCCACCCTCCAGTAGTGGTGATGTAAAGTACCCAGAGGCCAAGAGCCATGGTGGCTGGGGAGGGCCCCTGATGGGAGAGGAACGTGTTCCATCCATCTCCCCTAAGTCAAACTGAGAGACACTGACTGCAGGTCACGGTGGAATGGAATGGATTAGGGAACGTCCTATTACTCTGGGAAGTGAGGTAAGGAAAACCAAAACCAAACAGAAACCTAAAACGTTAATGTGATCTTTATTATACAGCACATCTGGTATTTGTGTATCCCAACAAGTATACAGAATGTTCTATAAAACCAAACCCAACCCTTCAAAATTACACTAATGAAGAGTAACCCAGAGTCATGTCTCTTCAGAATGCACACAACACAGTAACAATATCATGGAAAAAGCCAGGCAGCACAGAAAGGAGAGAGGATAAAGACTGAAGTGTGTGCCAAGTCGTTGTCTTTTGTTATTGCACTTTTATTCTACACACTTAGTATGTTACACTTTTAACACTGTAATAAACATTAGTCCTTTAAAACAAACAAACAACATTACATGAAGACAAAAGACAACAGGCTGTCCAGACCAATTTTCTTTTCAACCACCTGGGCAGGGTGGCCTTCCCCATGCTAGGTGTCCTGAACATGCCTCTGAGATCACCTCAATTGGACTGGATGTTAACAAAGCAGATGAAGTTAAAACAAAACTCTTTTAAGAACAGTAGTGCTACTGGAAACCTCCAGGGAAGTCTGCAATACAAGTGTCTCAGGCCACTCCCTCCTTACCCACTTTCACATCAAACAAGCTCTACTCATCCTACCCCCATATTTGGAAGGATTAACCTTTCTTTTCCTTTTCCATTTTTATTTTGAGATAGAGTCTTGCTCTGCCACCCAGGCTGTGAGTGCAGTGGTGCAATCTTGGCTTACTGCAGCCTCCGCCTCCTGGGTTCAAGTGATTCTTCTGCCTCAGCTTCCCAAGTAGCTGGGACTACAGGTGCCCACCATCACGCCTGGCTAATTTTTTCTATTTTTGATAGAGATGGGGTTTCACCATGTTGGCCAGGCTGGTCTCAAACTCCTGATCTCTGGTTTTAAAAAGTGGGTTACTTGATCCAGAAAATCATAAGCTTTGGAAACTCAAGGAAAGCAACTACTCTTCTGGCAGTGGACTCTTCCAGGGTTGTAATCCCACTCTGATGCAATACGGATGGACTAGGGAGGTTTCCTGATTATCCAAATGGAAAACCAAGCATGTCATCATCTCTCCAAAGCAAAGCCAAAGGAGGCCTTAACTTCCCAAAGTGCTACTGTAATCACCAATTTTCCCGGGCCTCCCAGTGCTACCTAGTAAGCCAAAGACAAAAAGTAAAGTGTCATTCAGTGCAGTTGTCACTCTGCAGCCCTGCAACCCCGAGGCACTTCTTCCATCAGGAAGAAGTGACCCTTCTTTGGCAGCTCAAGCAAAGACACAAAAATGCATCTGAGAGCTGACGGTTACTAGTTGAAAGCTCTATAAGTCCCCTATTTCTATCTGTGGTAGCAATGCATTCTTTCCTCTACTGCTTCCTTGAATTTTAGTGTTAAAAATTAGGAGAAGCTGCTGCCTAGGCTCTGTCCCCTTGAAGTAGATGGGGTCAAAAGTGACCCTCTTTGGTCTGGGAACAACCAGCACAGTCCTCCTGTGAAGCGCTTGCTCAACCAATGAGCTACTCTTTGCAGAGGATCAAGGAATTAAGGTATGCCTGTGGAAACCCACCCAAATGAGCCGTGCCAGACTGCCCTTGCCATCAGCTCTCAAGGCACAGGGTCAGCCATTCCAGGGCCCCAGGCTCCATGATTTCTCCTGACTGCTCTGCAGGAAGGCCCCTCACTCAGTTCTGAAGTGAAATGAGTGACCAGACTTCAAGCTGTGGCCATTAAAAATGGCCGGGTCATCGTTTTCAAGCTGGGTAAGCTGCCCTAATTATGTTGATTAGAAGGACAGAACACAGTAAGGGTCATTCTTTCATGCCATCCTTTCTCCTCCTCCAGCCACAATCTCACCTCACCACTTGAGAACATGTACAACCAAAGCTGGGAGGTAAAATCTTTAGGACTTTGGTCATGCCGAGCCCTCTATAGCCCAAGTGCTGCCAGACTTCTTTGAAAACCTAGTGTCTGCCCAAGTAATATACAATACAGTACATTTCATGGCATCCCATCACTTATAAGAATGGATGCCAAGGAACAAAGAAGCCAAAATTAGCTGACAATGTTATAAAACAAAAGCAAAGTATACACACGCTATACACACGTATACCTGCACTCAGCCTGCTGAGTATTTAAATAACATCCCCAAACATCCATATGTGGACTTTGGCTGGCCTAGAGACTTTCAAGAATATTTTGCACCTTTTCTCAAAATACTTTTTTTTTTTTTTAAGAAAATGAACTGTAACACAACTACTCATCTTCTTATTTACATTAGTCCCTCCCTTCCACCCTCCCCATTGGGGAAAAAACTATTGGAGAATCTGCTAGAGAACTGGTATCTGATAGCAGACTAAGCCATGGGGTAAACTGAAAAGGGACTCTGGGTAGGGGAAAACAAATCTAACCTCCCATATGTGAATGGGAGTATGAGCTAAGACTTCCAAAGAATGCTAGGAATGTGACCTTCGGAATGGAAGCACAGACTTAGCTTGAGTCAAAGGACAGTCTGGAAAGGGAACTATATAAGACTTTCCCTAAAATTTCATACCCAACAGACTTACAATGATTTTCCAGCAAGTGGAGAGTACTTACCCCTCCTTTCTTGACACCTGACTTCCTGGAAGCCCCATCATCGTTCCCAGAAGGACAGCCAGTTAGTGATGAGAATAGAGTACTTGAAGTATCGCTAAATAGGTGGTCAGAATTCTAAGAATATACTGAACATCCTACCAAAACAAGGCTAAAGCCTACAGAGCCCAAAGGCACTGGGCCAGTTACTTTATGATTTGCAGGTAAAAAGGTTATTAGCACTACCTGGGGTTTCTGAAAGGCTGCAAGAGCTTAGGGAGCTACTATGCTCAAACATACGATCCGAGCCCAGGATAGCCAAAGAGTTAAAAGTTATATGAAAGACCCCATTTATACTCCATTAATATTTAAAAGATGGTCATTCTGTCACAGACAATCCTAGAAAATCCCAGCAGCAAATGTGCGACTCATCTGTTTTTTCTTTTTTTTTTTTTTTTTTGAGACAGAGTCTTGCTCTGT